TTCTATTATAAAAGTAATTGAATGAGGCCGGGAATCCCTCAACATCTCAACCCGGTAGTGAAGCTTGTGCTGGAAGCGGGGACCAGCCCCCCATGGTCTGTCTGCAACTACAAAGAAAGTGCAGTGAGCAAGTGGAGCAAAACTTTTAGGAATCCAGAATAAGGGCCGGATTGCACTGGCAAAAAGGATTGGAATGAGTGTCCGAATCTGGACGTGTTTGTGGAGAGGTGCAGAAAAGTGTGATAGATCTGCTTTTCTGCGTCTCGGCGTGGAACACGTCCTGATTCAGACACTTATCCCAGTCGTCCTTCCCGGTGGGATCTGTCTCTAAGGCGAGCAAATCAGCCAAGATCGACTGAAGAAATTCAAAACAATTCCTATTCCGGGGGCCAAGTCCCACTTACCCGAATTCTCGATTTTGGACCGTAGATTAGGAAGATCAATGGCCAGAAATGAAGAATCAGCGTAAGTGGGACTTTGCCCCGGGTCTCCTGCTACTCTGTCTAGGAGCCTTACCCAGCTTCGCTTCAAGATCTTACGGAAAGGAGACCGAGTACGGATCTGTTAACTCAAGGAAGCCTGAACCGCCTGTAGGTCGCCGTTTTTTAGATCCGCAGTGGCACTGCATGCCGGTTCATTGGGGAAGAGAAAGGAATCCCCCCCCCTCCCCAACCCCCTTCCCCCCCCAAAAAAAATTAAAAAAAGCGAAAAGAAAAAAAGGAGATGGTTCCGACTCCTGACTCTTTGCAAAAGTGAAGAGGTAGATTTCGTCCGTGGCTGCGGAGATGGCAGATTGGCTTGGGGCATTTTTTTGAGGTCTTTCGTCGCTGTGGAGACAGCAGATTGGCTTGGGGCATTTTTTTGAGGCTGAAAGCCTGCACGGCTGAAGTGTCGAACAACCTTTTGTTTTTGTGTTTCTTATTTAAGTTAAAGGCTGAATTCAATTACCTGTCAAACAGCTTTTCTTTTTCTTTTTTTTCTGTTTCCCCCCCCCCCCCCTGTTGGGGGTTGATGGGCTGCGCCGCGCTTTGCTGCAGTGCAACACAAAGGCAACGCGAAGGGGTCGGGCAGGCAAGCCCACCCTTACGACCCTTTCATCGCCCCTGAAAAATTAATTTAATGTCGTGTGACCCGATGGACCACAGATCAGATATTAAACTGATCAGAACAGATACTACACTAAATCTTCCTTAGCCAAAAGGCCGAGAGAGGTATACAAACAGCTTTAAATTTCAAGTTCTTACCAATGATGAAAGGACATTGTCAAGTATTTTGCATATTTTTCCTGTTTTCTGTTTCAAATTTGTTCTTCATTCTTTTTTGAAATGTAATGCAAGTATATGTTGTTTCTGGGAATGTGGGGATCATTGACAATTTGGATCACTCAAACAGTGGCTAAGATCAAATGTAATATCTGTTCTGATCAGTTTAATATCTGATCCATGGTCCATAGGGCCACATATAAATAAAAAAAAAAATGGAAATGATTATCTTCCCTGTTTGATGGCCTTGTGAAAAAGGAAGGTAATCATTTCCAATTTTGCAGTACACAAGGCTTAGAGCAGTAAAGAGAGGCCCTTTCAAACCTGATGTTTTGGGGGGGGAAATAAAAATAGAGAGGCCCTTTCATGGCAGTTTTGCCTGGTGGCTGGGTGGGGCAGGGGAAAATGGATTTCCCAAAGCAGAGTAGCTGTTGATGACACTGTTCAACTTATCTGCCATGCGGTACTTGCACTGGCAGAAGGTGGAGTTTTATTTGGGAGAGAAAGGAGGGGAAGGTGGGGGAGGGAAAAGGCCCTGCTAGGCAGATTTTATAGGCAGTAATGCTTAAACCCATGGGCTGGGGCTGTTTTCAGAATGGTCTTGGCGTTAACCAAACTAATATACCCCCTGCCCCTCGCCCACCCCCTTCAAACCGGCTTTGACATGGACTCGCCACAAGAAATCCTATTAAATAATGTGCTTTCCGCAGCAACTTTTAAACGACCGGTACCAGCTCCAGATGAGTAACTTTCTTTAAGTTTCTGCTGGACGAAATTAAAATTTCCCCATTGAGTATGTACCAAGCAGGCTGCAGGCAGCCCGGTGCATCGAACTAACAGTCACCGAGTGTATGGCTGCACGTTTCAAAAGGAAGGGTCTCGATACTGGTGGGTTAACGAAAGTTCGGAGGGAAACTGACTTGCCGCGAGGGCACGAGTGCACAGCCCGTAGTTTGTTTGTTGATGTGGTTGGGGAGGCGTAAGGTAGTGATTATGATGTGTTTATGTTTTGTCATATTCGCTGTACACAACTCCAAGAGTGTGGGGGGTGGGGGGTCGCGGCTGGTGCTTTCTATTCACAATGCGCATGGGACGCTGCAACCGTTTTCCAGGAGGTGCACCTGTCGAGCGCACAGTCCCCGCAGAGGGGACCTTCCAGGCTGCATCATGCAGGACTGGCAGAATCGCGAGTCACATTACGAAAAAGAAAGCAGCGGAGCTGCTTCAGCTGAGGGTGCCAGCTATACCTCCATCGAGCCCCTACAACAGGATAGGACCTCGTGAGGTACAACTTGCCTCCACCCTTGGGAGCTGTCACCATCCCTTGGGTGGGCGTATCCCCGCCGAGCTACTGAACCACACGCGGAAGCTTTTATGTGCAATTGCGAAGGTGGACCAGCCGAGGGCATTTCTCGTACACTGTACTACAGCTTTGTTTCGGTTTTTTTTTTTTTTTTTTTTTTTTTTTTAATGAGCTCACAGCCTAGCTTTCCCGGGGCGCCCGGGTAGGGACCTCGCTCCGGGTACCCCGGGCATGAAAAAAAACCACTGAATTTTTTTATTTTTATTTTTTTGGCCTGCAGGGCCTTGCTGCGCTTTCCAAGTACAGCCCAAATCCAGCCTCATTTATTTTTTTCAGGCATGTTGGTTTCCGTGTGTTTGGGGGAGGGGGAGGGGTTATGGCAGAGGGAGGAGGGAAGAGGAGGTTATGGCGGAGGAGGAGGGAAGAGGAGGTTATGGAGGGAGAGGGAGAAGGGAGGATGGAGGTTGTGGCAGTAGAGGGACGAGGGAGGATGGAGGCTATGGCGGTGGAGAGGGAGGGAGTCTATGGCCGAGGGAGCCAATGGAGAGGGAAGAGGAGGAGGGAGGTTGTGACGGAGAAGGAATGGGCGCATTTATGTATCTGGATGGAGGAGGGAGACCATGTGGCGGGAGGAGCGGGGGGAGGGAGGGAGGCTCTGGCGGAGGAGGAGGGAGGGAGACTGATGGAGGAGGAGAAGGCAAGAGGGAGACTATGGCAGAGGAAAGGAGCCTGATGTGGAGGACGAGAGAGGGATCTATGGCGGAGGAAGGAGAGGGAGAGTATGTGGAGGGAGGTTTACTGATGGAGGAGGATGGGGGCGAAAGGGAGACATGTGGAGGGAGGAGATGGTGGAGGAAGGAGAGGGCAACTATGTGGAGGGAGGAAAGACTGATGGAGGAGCAACAAGAAGAAGAGCAAGACAAAAGTAGAAGAAGAAACGAAAAAAAAAAAAAGAACTGAAGAGACTAAGAATAAGAGGATCGACGCAGATCGACGGCCAAGGCACGAAAAAAAAAAAAACCATCAAACAGGGCCTACCAGGCCCTGAAAAAATTTGCGGCCGCCGCCTAATTTTTTTTCCCCCTTTGGGCCGTAGGCTTGCGGTGCCAAAAAAATTTTTTGAGGTTTTTGGGGGGTGGCGCTGAGGGTGCCCGGGTGCCTGCTCGGGGGGGTCGCCCGGCTGGGCGCCCCGG